GGCCGCGCCCAGCGCCCCGGGCCGCGCCGCTGCGGAGGCCTCGGAGGCTGCTTCTGCTAGAGAGAAATCCCCTGGGGCCAACGGCCGGGCATTTCCGTGCGTCTGGGCTGTGCGATTTGCCCTTCTATGGGTGCTAGGCCCGAGGGGCGCCGGCTGCACCCAGGGATTGGCGTTGGCGGCCTGCGCAGCGCCTCGGGCACAGAGGGCGTTGGGGGTGGGGGGGACGCCCCACGGGGCGGACAGTTTCCTTATGCCCTGCACCCGTGGTCTTTCAACAAGTCCTTTAATTCGGAGAAGTCCATACACACTCTCAAATTCGTCCATCCGAGGCCCCAGCGAAAGGATCAGTGGAGCTCACTGGCCCAGGCGATTTCCAGCCACCTGCGAAAGGTGTGGCCGGCGACCGCAAGTTGTCCTGCGTGGGTCGGGCGACCACGGGCCGCGCGAAGCCAGGTAGCGGCTGTCTTATCTGGACACACGTCAACTGCCTTACAGTGCTGTTTCTAAATGAATGGTGTGGATGCAGCTCACGTTTCCACGAAGTTGAGAGAATAAATCACTACTGCTGTGTATTTCGGCATCAATAAATTAAAGCAGAACATTTGCTTAGTGTAATGCTTTTTCTTTGCACACAGTGGGTGCTTACTAATCATTGAATGCCACTTTAGAGGGTGCTTTAATGGGCTGTGTGGGAAATACCTGTAAAGTGTTTTTCGAAAGATAATCCTGTAAGTTATCCTGCAGGTTTTGAAACTTCCAGAGTTTTAAAATAGTCCCATCTCCTCTGAAAAAGATGTGACCGAAAAGCTGGGTGAGTTTTGGTAGACTTGAAAAAGCAGGGATTTAAAGGAGTGACAAATCATCTGATTCATGCCATGATTAAATAGTCATACTGAAAGTGTTTGAAAGAAAAATCAGGTGTTCATGATATGGTGTTTAAAATAATGCTAAATAAAACTCTTGTAATACAAATTTCAATAGAAATTTTATTAGTTTCGTTTCTCTACTTCTTATAAGCCAATAATAAATCAAAATAGTATTTCCTGACGCAGGGCATGCTGTTCCTGCATATCCCTTTCATCTTCCAAAACAGTTATTTCAAGACAAACTATAATTTATGTAAGGTAATAATTTTCATCCATTGCCTGTGTATGTACCTGGACTAGCTAGTTAAAATCTAAATTACACTTATTGGAATATGTGAAAGACAAGTGTCTTTTTTGGAGCCTTTATATCTTAGACAATTTAAAACTTTTTGGTAAATCACAGAGGTTCCCCCTCCCCTTTTGTTAGCAGAAATTGTCTTCAACTTTGTGCAACCTGTGATTTTGGAGGGTAGTCATACTCTTTACTGTCAGGTTGGAACCAACTCATAGGTAGCCCTCCATTGGATTCCAGCGGCTCTGAATTGTTCAGGAGGAAATTACCCATCTTTCTTCTGGAGAGCTGGGGGTGGATTTGAACCTTTGGGTGAGTAGTACAACTACCTTCAGACTACATCACCAGAGCGTCCTTTAAGAGCATTAAGAGTTCCATAAATGTTCTAAAATTCAGCTTTAAAGTAATGACATGTCACTCTTGAAAGGCTGGTATTTTGCTTTTAATAATTAAAATATAGGAAAATAACGCGTTTATAGCAAGAACTATAAACAAAACCATTTCATATTTCTTAAAGTATCACTAACAGTATCCTTTGAAAACAGTTTGAAATTGGCAAGCCTTATGAAAAGTAAATACTAAAATAAGAAGGCCTTTAAACTTAACAGGGTGAAGAGGTAGCATAAATTATTATGTACCTTTTATCTTCCAAGGGAGCCCTGGCCACGCTGTGTACAAAAAGAAGTAAGAATTTCCCTCAGGTAGACTTAACACTTACCCGATTTGTAGATACTGACATGTAGAAGGATGTATGGTTTAGTCAGTAGTGTGCTTTTGACCAGTGGACTAAGACTCCCAGCAGTTTAAAACCACAAGCAGCATCTCTGGAGAAAGATGAGCCATCTTCTGAAATAGTGAAGGGGTTACTCTTGGAACTGACTGGACCTCATTGAGATACTTTTGAAGAGACTTGGGTGAAAAGTTTATCAGAAAAGATATTCTGTGAAAGTTGTTATACACACACATATGCACACATACAGTGTTCTGTTAAGTAACTCTCTGGAGATAATGGAGGGAGGTTTGTTAATTGATTGGATACCATTGTGAGGAAAGTTTGTGAAAACCCTGCTAAGAGATATATGCTCTTTTGGCTTTAGTTTATTACTATTGAGTTGATTCTGACCCATGATGACCCCAGTAAGTCGAAATGTGCTCCATAGAGTTTTCAATGGTGGATTTTACAGAAGGTAGCTAGGCTTTCCTTCTGACATGTCACTGGGTGGATTTAATCCTCCAGCCTTTCCCTTAGCAGTTGTTCACTTTAATAGTTTACACAACCCAGAATGACTAATTTATTCAAGAATATAGTAACACTCAGTTGTGTTAGAGATATACATAGGTGAGAGTTCCATTTTGGAACCCTTCCTGGTTATTAGCTTTTAACCACTATTAAGAAATCCTTAATCAGAAATAGAATGAAAGTTTATGGGTATATTGACATATTTCTTGTTTGAAATCTTTTTAAAGGCCTTTAGTTTCAGGACCTTAAGTTTGTACTTTAACTGTATTAAAAATTCTAAGATAAATGAAATTTGTTAAATTGAAAGCAACTCTGTTACCTTATGCATATATACTTAGCTCTTGTTTTTAATCATTTGCCTGTTTTATACAAAAAAAAGAATTTGAAACTTCAGAGTAAAAGAAAGTGTGATTTTACCAGGCTGTGTTTTAGCAGTTTTTCTTTCTCCTTGAGGTGTACTTTATTTGGTTTTTGTTTTTGGTGTTTTGTTTTTTTCCCTTTGCATTTCATTGCTGACCCAGTGCAGGAGCACCCATCTCCATCTACAACTTGAGTATCTCAGCTAACCTCTGTCCCCTGAAAAATAAACATCTCCTTGACCTACAATTGTGAGATACTCTTCCCTCAGCTTTACTCTCAACTCATTTATAGTCCTGATTGAGTCTGGGGGACTGAAAAAGTTGATCAGGGTTATTTTGCTTCTTAGAATGACTAGATACTTGAGGTTGTAAGAACAATTTTCACATGTGCATCTTAACTAATCTGGAACCCAGGAATCCTAGAAACATAAGGAACACTAAATTTAGCCCTGATGATCATGTCACAGACTTGGAAAATATCCAGTCTATCCCTGTGCCCAATGCTATGAATTCATTTGACTTCAGAAAGACTACCTCTTTAATCAATCCTTTACTTTTTTGTTTTGTACTATCAAGTTGGAATCTACTCATAGCTGACCCTAGCAGATTTTAAGAGACAGTAAATCACATGGGTGGAGATTGCCCATCTCCCCCACTCTACCCCATCCCACCCCGAGGGAGCAGCTGTTGGATTTGAACCTTGAACCTTTGGATTGGCAGCACAGCTCCTTACCCGTAAGGTACCAGAGCTCCTTAACCAACCATTCTTACCTGGTCAAATTATGTAAAGGTACATTTGTAAAAGTATTTCCGCATTTTGAACTTATTTAATAATATCTATTGAACACCTACATTGTGCCAGGCACAGATAAGAAACTCAAATATGTATTTATTGGTGAACAAAACAGACAAACATAGCAACATTTGGAGAATTCGCCTTGTGAAGTGGGAGAGATGATGAACAGCAATAAGACTAAGAAGTTAATTATATAGTGTGTTTGCTTATGGTTTGTTCTTTGGAAAAGAGAAAAGCAGAACAAGGTAAGGGGGTTTGGGAGAAGGTAGTGTTGGAATTGTAACTAGATTAGTTAGGATAGGCCTCATTGAAAAGCTGATAAAACAGAGGTGAAGGAGTTAGCCATGAAGATATAATGGGGAACATCATAGTCCAGACAGAGGGAATGAAAGGCTGCAAAACAGGACTGTGCTTCTTGGACTGCAAGACAGGCCTGCTACTCTCCAGGAATCTGATTTAATTTGATTATTCTTGTCATTTTTGTGATGGTGCTGAAGGGATAGCTTGTTTAGAACTTGCCTCAGATGTTAGTTAGATGCTGCAGCTTTGCTACTTTTGGTTTAGATTTCCTAAAGGGGCCTTTCTATGGCTTGCAGTAGCTATGACTTA